AATATTTTTGTTAATCATATATGATAATCGTAGATATTTTTGTTAATCATATGTGATTATATATATTTACATTTATAGATCTTTTTTTGTATAAATATTATCACATGTGATAATACATCACCTATATTCAGAAATATATTATTATATGTGATATGTACAAAAATTCACATAGTGGATCACATAGATCATATGTTAAACGAAGTTTATTACATGTGATCTAAAACGTGGATTCAAAAATTAGAGAAAAAATAATGAAAGATTATGAATTAATTGTCGATATCACATGTGATATTTGATGAAAATTTTGAAATTTTATTTATCAAAGTATATCTAGAAAAAAAAAGTTATATAAACTTTATAAAATAATTATAACTTTATTAAATTAAAAAATAAATAATTTTAAAAGATATAAATATGTTTTTAAAGATTTATCCAATTCAAAATGATAATCATCCTATTTTTTTAATTTTTTTATGTTATCTTTTAATGAATGGATTATGTGCTTGTATTCCTTCTCGTCTTCACATAAATTAGTTAGCTTCTTGCATAATCCTCTCTCTCTCTTTATATATATATATATATATATATATATATGTGTGTGTGTGTGTGTGTGTGTGTGTATGAGGGTATATGTGTGTGTGAAAATTGACTGACCCAAATAAATAACTAAATAAATCTGAAATAATAAATTGTATCTAAAAAAAGTTTAGAGCCCAATATAAAATTAAACTCTAAAAGGACTTGTTATTGGACCACTTTTATTAATATGACAATGTCCCAAAGCCGAATAAAATAAGTTGAACCATGTGTTGCCCGGAATGAGGAAGTCGGCCCATTTCACGGCCCGACAGGCCCACGCATCTACATCCTCAAATCACGACTGTCCAAGGTTGTTTCATTTTCTCATTTTTAAGTTTTGGTTTTTACACCACTCTGAAAAACTCCAATTTAGATCTTTTAAACTAAAATATGAGACATAAGGCTATTAAAGTTCGATAGAGAATCGAAAAACGAAGTTAAGTATATAAAAAGCTCGAAGTTTGGTTGAGTATTTGCCCATAACGATGATAAATCAAGATCTTTTAACCTTAACTTCGGACACTGATTCTCCCTTGTTTCTCCATGTTCTTTGAAATTTCTTTAACACCGATGTAGCTAGAAGTGTTAGCTACTTAAATTTGGAAATTTTTTGTTTATTCGTTGGCATCGTGAGCCAATCGGATGCATCAAAGAATAGAAAGGACTCGTCTCCTTCAAAAATTTGAAACCAAACAGACTTGTTATTTTGGCCGGACGGGTCCCTCAAATTTCAACTAACAAAGGTCTAACACTACTTGAACAATTAGATTATGACATTGGGCCCTTTGGCTTTAATACTTTGGCCATTAATATTTTTCATTCCTGATATCACATTTTCTTTTGTTTTTATTCTGATTTCCAAAAAAAATTATTTATTTATAATATATATTACCAAAAATATTTTTTTAGTTTCTCGGATTTTCGGGTTTTACAGTGTCGATGTGATATTTAGGAAGAGGAGATATCGGAAAAAAAAAAAAAAAAAAGTGGTGATGCATTGTTTAAGAATTATGTGTTGCCAATTTGTGATTATTCGATCTTAGAAAGGAGCACGCGTTGAGTTTGTTAACCCATGGTGCAGAGGAATGCGACTGTGAGCTAACACCCAAGGAGCTGGAAGAACAAGATCGTTGGAACCTCGAGGAGGGTTGTTGGGATGTGGAGTGGACGATGGTGGATCGACGTTGTAGAATGTTGCAAAGTCAACAGTTGTTGATTCGAGTTAGGATGCGACATAGAAGGTGGTTAGGGCGGAGATGTAAACGAAGGAATGTCATGAGTGTTTGTAGGGCTTCTGGTAGAAGGTTTATATGTTGAGTAGGGAAATTGATGTTCATCGAAAATAACATGGAGTTAGATAATGAAACGTTTTAAGAGGGATCATAACATGGGTAACCACGAAAATGTATAAGGACACAAAAGCGAATATGGAGGTCGTTTTGGTTGCACAAATTATGAGAAAGATTGTTGTTATACTCACGACTATTATCGTATTAAAAATCATTTTTCTCTTTCGAATTGGGTTCGTATATATTGTCGAAATACGGAAAAGATTTAAGATTTGTTGACTATTAGAAAAGTCCACATGAAATTCATATATCATTTAAGAATAAGAGATATATTTGTAAGCACTAGTGCTTATAATTGGTGAAGTACACATATCACTATGAATTACATCAAATACGCAATAAAGTTTAATATAGAATGAAAGAAAGGTAATTTTGTTTGCCAAGTTGAAACACAAACACATAAAAAATATCAGTAGAACCAAAAATAAGATTATTACAACGTATAATATGAAGAATGTTGGGATCTGGATGACCAAGACGTGCATGCCAAAGAGATGTGTCATGGTGACAAAGGTTAAAGGAGTGAAATGGCTCGACTTGAAAGAGGATGGAATTAGATAAAGGTGGTTGGAGCTATCACACCGCATTATATCCATAGGTCCTTCACAGATAAACCAAATGGGTCAAAATAGATAGACACATTGTTATCCTTTGTAAAATAAGATTTTAGTGATGTTGGAACAAGAAGCACATTATTCAAAGATAGAGGAGAATAAGGAGAAGAAAATGTAGAATTACCATACGCGGTTATAGGAACGGAAGTGTTGTTACACACTATAATATGACGGAGAGTTGCGAGAATTAAAAAGGTTAGAAAACTTACCTTGATTAGACATCATACGGGAGGTGGCACCTATCATCAGGGGTTTAGAGTGTTGAAAGTTGCATCCATCTTGGTCGGTGCAAACGATGGGGCCGCTGAAATTCGATATACTTGTTGAGGTCGAGCACCAAGTATACTTGCACTTTAATTTCTTGGAGCATGCGGGGGTTGTAGTAGGTCAAGGGGCCCAACCCATTGTGGGATATAGGCAAGGTAGCGCATACAACTGTCACTGTTAGTGTTAATGTTGCCAATTTGACGATCCAAAAAACTGCCATGGGCTGCGTCCACCATGCAATGACCCTGTGACCAAACCCGTCGCCTGTTCCATGATAGGAGCCACAGTTTGAAGAACCCGAGGCATGCTTGTGAAGACGATTCAGAAGGTGGAGATGGTTGGGTTGGATTGTCATTTCTGATGAGAGTTGTTGGGTTCGTCGTCTTCGCCTCGAATTGCTTTGTTTTCCTTGACTTTTCAAGATTGCTAACAACCATCACAAGTTTGCTTTTTGGTCATACTCTAACAATTTCAATATGCATGATTCTAAACACACCCCTACCTGTGAAGACACGGCTAGCAGAACATTTCAGGTTTTCATATGCCTTATGTCCTACTTTTGAAAAAACCGTCGTATGAATCGTGTTTAATATTTTTGTGTTATTGGATCCTTGGTGTACGTCATGTTGGATCCTTGATGAGTTACACTAGACCTGACTTGTTTGTTGTTGTATGGTGAGTAGATATTTGGAAAACTCCACCAAAAGGTCATTCAGTGGATATACAACTACTTGAAGGGTTCATCAAATGTTTGTCTGAACTTGGGAAAGTCAAGTGGGGGTGTCTTGCAATATGTATTATACCATGGATTTGGACAACTAAAAGTCAACCATAGGATATGTGTTCTCCATTGATGGAAAGCACATCTTTTAATCTCCTATTGTCTCTCAAAGCCAAATGCATGCCCATTATGGAATCATTGAAGGAATTCATTTGGTTGAAAGGGCAATTTAGACAAGTCATTAAATGCAAATATGCAAATACTTAAAGTGCCAATTGCTTGACCAAATATAAAAGTGTTCCATGATACAAGTATACACAAATTGATGTTTTGTTTTTTTATTAACCTGGATATCCAACCCGCTATGCGAGCCGACTAATTTCAGGGCGACCACCTGCTTTGTAGTTTGCAGATAGCCCGGAGTCACCGTATTTGAACTTCCGTGGCCACAAGGGGATTTGTATTCCTCTTTGGATTTGAACTTGGGACCTCCAGGTACTTTTGACCTTTATGTACAAAGAACGGACAAACCCTTATGGGTTGTATCCGAAGACATGGAAAGAGATGTTTTTATGTCAGCAACAGAGGCCMAAGCTTATGGAATTGTTGATCTTGTAGCTGTTGAATGACAATAGCCTGGATTTCGCGTCAATTCGTGATTTGAAATTACTCCTGCCGAGTTTAWTATTCTATGACTTTTATTTACTATTCTATTGAATAAAAGTAATTCCCACAAGGGGATTTGTATTCCTCTTTGGATTTGAACTTAGGACCTCCAGGTACTTTTGACCTTTAGAGTCAAGCTCAAACCAATCAGGTACCACCCTTATGGTTCACAAATTGATGTTTGGTACCACTTTAGGTGGGAATGAATGAATACTTTGTTTGATCTCCCATATGTTGTACACAAGCCATAGAAAAGGTTGTTCAAAGATTAAATATTAATCTTGATAATTACAAGAAATTAAATTACTAAACAAATTCTACCTTTTACAATTGTTTACATGGTTCACTCTTGCAAAAAAGCATCTCACTCTCCCAATTACGTTTCTACCATAATGAATTTGACAATCGTGAGAACCTAAAGAACTTGTGAACCTGGAATACTCATTATTTGGTGCAAAGATTACTCAAATGAGTTGATTTCTCTGAATGCTTGGATCCTTGTATTTGTGCACCATTTTTTTCTTCGCATAAGACGTATTTATACCTTAAAAGAGGAGACAGACGCTACTCGCCTTGATGCATGATCAAAGGATCGTATTGTGTTTGTTATCTCTTCATTCTTGTTTGTTTGATATCTTTCCGGTTGTAAAGTAGTAGCCTACAGTTGTCCTCTTTGTCTATTGATAATAAATCTATTTGTGTTGGCCATGGTTTTTCCCAAGTAAAAATCTAAATGTCTATTAGTGATTTATTGTACCTTTACTTAATCGTTACAATTCACCTAATCATTGATTCGATATTGGATGATTTTGACATTGTTGACATTAGACAGTCAAATTAGTGTTACAGTTCCACAAAGAAAGAAAACCATTAGAACAAGATTGGAACCATCCACAATAATTGAAGTCTATTTTCAAAAGTAAGTATAAAACAATCTAAATAGTACTGGAAAGTAGATGTTAATTTCACATAGCATAAGTTAGAAAGAAAGTTACAACATCCCTTTCAGTATGTGGGATAAACAACATCATCAACGAGCATTACCCGTCCCTCGTCTCGCCAGCTCTGCATACATTAATCAAATTATTCAAATCTTATATTAAAATAAATAAAGCTCAAATCTGGTATATTATATTACATACCTCTAGGAGGAACATTATCTCTGCCCTCAAGTAAGGTACTGCTGCCCGATGGTTAACCACCTGCTCGATTTCTGTTATACTTATTTGCTCAAATCGCTTTTCATGTCGATGCTGCTCAAATGCTGACCTAAATGCAGCAACCCTACACCCACAAAAACACACAACATATATCTTTATACTGCTAATAACAATATTCATTTTATTCATTGTGTCAAAATACAACACAAACCTCTCGGGAGAGATGGTTTCTACCACTGGAGCTTCATCTACTTCCATTGCTTCCTCAGCCCTGTAAAAAAAAAAAGATAACCATAAACCAAACCAAACCAAACCAAACAAGCCTAGTATGTCCACTAGAAGGTGGAATCATGGGGTAAGATGAACAGTAGAGCGACTGTTTCCAAGATATTATTTAGTAGAATGTAAATGATTCAAAAACAACTAACACCTAATATCTCAAGCCAACAATGGAGTAGATAATGAAAAATAACCTCAATGTATATACTGCTTTTATGTACACCAAATATATTCAGGGTCTGAGAATCTTAAACTAAAAGTAACAGCATTTCAGCTACCCACAGAAATTAATAAGACTTATGTTATTCTTCTATTTTGTGAAAGTAAACCTTTTAGGGCAAAAGGTGTCGCACTAGATCAATTAGTTGCTAGTATTCATGATAGAAATCCCTACGAAACCAAATATTTGCTGCATATACAAGGCAAGTTCATATTCTCCTGCAGATTTTAGATTTGGCATAATTGCAGTATGCACAAGATGCTAGTTTCAATATGCTAATGATGCTTGCCGAAGAACAGGATTGTGGTACTTCCTACAACTAGTAGCCATAACCAAGTGAAAGTTCATATCAACTTACCTTGTTTGAGTGTCATCATCAGCATCAGGCTTTCCATTTCTTCTTCCGCTATGGTCATTGTTTTCATCATGATCAGCTTTCCGCTTTTTCTCCAGCTCCTTCTCCTGTTGTTGCTCACGCTCTTCCATGTCAGTCAACTCTTGATGGTAAATAGCAAAGTTGAGAACTCTCAACGCAGCTTCTACATCAGATTTCAGTACCTACATGACCAAAACACAAGGCGTCAAAATATAAACATAAACCATGAGAGGAGAAACAAGATTAAGGTACCTGTTTGCTCAATTTAAGTTTGGCGTGTGCTGTAGAAAGACGAATTATTGTCTCCAGGGTTCTGGCGGTTATTGGAAGCGTTCCTCCTGTCTACAAATATAAATACTTCCAAATTAACACCAAAGCATCTTTTACACATAATTAAACAAGTAGGTGACTGTTAATACTAACCCTGCTGCTATTGCCACCAGTGTTTCTAAGCTCTGCATATGCAGTTGCAATGTACTCAGATGCCTGAACATGAAAATGTCTAATCATTTGCTCCATCAACAACAATAAATATAAGACAATTCTTACAACACGTCACCACTTTCAAGAAAATTGGATTCTTAAATTATGTTGACATCAATGACTTCTTCAAGAAGGAAATACCAAAGGGCCTTCAGCCTAGCGGTATCGTAGCCCTTGGCTTCCTATGAGGTCAAGGGTTCAAACCTCACCAAAGGTGAGGAGGGTGTGTGAGTTTATTTGTTGCATTTGCCGTATATAAATATTATATACTTTAAAAAAAGAAGGAAATACCTCATCAGTGAGATCTGGCTGAATCCTGTGCTTTGCATAATGTATGTACTTCTTAAGAAACTTGATTTTCAGAGCTTCAACATGAGGTCTCCTACCTCTTGTTCGCCCATGTAGCATTCGATTGTACTCAACAAAGACTGAACCATCTGCTTCAGATTCATCCTCCCTTCCATACATTGAAATTGAATCCTCGCCTAAAGAAGCATATTGCTTGATTGTAAGCAATTTTTAACATAATATAGAATTATGTCAAAATATTGTAACAAACAAATGATCCTACCTCCATCTGTGGCAGAGCGGAAACGGTGCATACGCAATACATGATCAGAGATGCGTCGATCTATAACAGGGTCCATTTGGTCCAACACAATAAACAGCAAATCAAATCGAGACAGCAAGGAATCAGGCAGTCCAATATTCTTTGTTGGAGTAATTGAACGGTCATACTGCAGTCAATTAATTAACATACACAAAGTTAAGTAAAACATATGGAAAACAAATGGCCTGAATATCTGTCATTTAACTACATACCGTTCCATAGATAGGATTTGCAGCTGCTACCACACTGCATCGAGCATTCAATGATGCATGAATACCAGCTTTTGCAATAGTTACAGTCTGCTGCTCCATAACTTCATGTATTGCTACACGATCTTGATCATTCATTTTGTCAAACTCATCAATACAGATTACACCCCTGTCTGCAAGAACCATTGCACCAGCTTCTAGCCTTCTTTCTCCTATAAAATTAAAATAATAAATGAAGTTCAGTAACAAAAAGTAACGTTATTCGGTTTTCCCCACTTCATCAAGAAGTTCTTACCTGTTTCTTGATCGGACGTAACAGCCGCTGTCAATCCAACCCCAGAAGAACCACGACCTGTAGTTGATATTGCCAAAGGTGCAATATTCATAATAGCTCTAAGAAGCTGTGACTTGGCAACAGAAGGATCCCCAACCATCATCATGTTAACGTCACTGCAGATTGCAAAAAACAGGATGAGTAGAACTACAAATCAACTTTATGTATAACTTTTATTGAATAAAGCTAAAAAAATGAGGGATGAATTTAAGAAGCAACTGAAAGATTATATTGGGCTAATATGAGAGACAAGCATCAGGACAACAAACAAGAACAGGCAGCTCACCCTCTTAAGTGAGTCCCGTTTTTTAGATTCTTCTCCGTTCCACCAAGCATCAGTAAAATAACTGCCTTCTTAATCCATGAGTGCCCATAAATTGAAGGTGCAAGTGATCTCGAGAGCAGTTCAAATGTATCATCTCTCTCAGCTATCTGCTTAATTTTTTTTATGTCCTCAGAACTATAAACTGGAGCATTTGCCTCTTTGTTCAGCAAAGAAACATTGTTTGCTATAAGCACGGTCCTACATGTCATAGTAGATAAATGAAGTTAGTCCATAGTGTAAATGAAACAAAAAAACAGTGTAGGCAGTGAAAAGAGCAGTTAATTTAACCTGAAAACTCCGTTCACACTGCCCTGACTTTTTCCTGGAATAGCTTTGTATATCCCAACAATTGCCACACGGTCTCCAGGCTTGCATGAATCTACCAGGTCATCTTCTGCAATGACATCAACAGTTCTTGGTAATTGACCAGGAGCAGAATTCTCAGGCACTTCTTGCATTGATAATGTTTGATGGTCTTTGTATTGACACAGCCCATATTCAGTTACTAACAAATTGCCATTGTCATCCTGCAACAAATAATATGAATCAAATACTACATATTATCATACTTGTGAAACATGACATCATACAGAAGTTGCTATTACCCGGGTCGGATACACGGAACCTGTAGGCAAACCCATTGTAGAAGTAATATCTCGATACTCACGAGCTGTGAATTGCCCAGTTGAAGGGCAAAAATGAACGCTTTTAACAACCTTTGGCCTTACAAGAGAACCTATAAGAAGAAAATGGTAAATCACACTGCCAAGAGCTTAAACTGATCATAGATTCACATGACCTTATGTAAACCTATTTTGTGAATAGTGAGTTCAACTATTAAAAAGACAGATTTGACGGAATCAAAGAGAATTAAATTTTCAGCAGTTTACTATGATATACATGTAATTTACATAAATATAAGAGACTTTATACATGTAATCCGCAAAAGTATAAGAAATTTCATACATGTAATTCATAACAAACATAAGAAACTTGGTTTCACCTTAGAAATGACATTATCAGTTTATGATGAAAATATCAATCATTTGTTTTACTGGAAGTATCAATCTACATATTGCAACATCCATAAATGCCTAAGCTCACAATTGGCTTCATAGTCAAATACGTTTTTTGTGACTTCAGTAACCAAGTAGCCAACTGAAACTTGCAACAACCATGTTCATATACTACAAACTATAATATACTGGGATTTCATCACTCTACTTCAACATAAAAGGAACAAGTAGCAGGCATCTTAACCAAGCAAATAGCAGATGTTGGCTTCTTAGCTACAGAAAATTCTTAATGTTAGAAAATATACCCATTTTAACATGCGGATCTATAACTACTCTAGTTGTGCCCAAAAGTAAAAGGTTGACTTTGATTCTAACCAAGCTTTTTTCTACTTCATATTATGTTTCCATCCAAATACTAGCGTATATTTTTAATTATTTGAATAGTAGGATTCAATTGCGCTTGAGGTCGGCCTAAACTCAACCAAAAGAACAAGCTGGCACAAAATGGGGATAGATGGTAATCATTTGAAAGCTAATTGATGTGCTAAGAAGCTCATCGTAAACACCATATAAACCCATAAATAGCAACACTCAAACACATATATAAAGCATAAAATCGTGAAAATTAAATCACTGAAAACTTACATTTGGTAATTATCCCCTCAACTTTTACCATGGAACCAATAAACTCGGAAAGGAGATCTCTGGGCGTAACCTTCCTCGAAACAAATGGTCCATCAAATCCAACCAATACTTGCTCCCCTTCCTTCAGAAACTTCGGGTCAATGCTCCTTGTCCTTTCCGTTATGAAATCAGACAACGACTGCATATATTCGCTAGGGTTCTGCAGCAGCCTAATTTACAACACAAATTCACAGATCACAACAAAAATCAGATAACAATAAACTTCATACATCGTATAATTATTCCAATTCAATGTATATATTCATGTAATCCTTAAAACCTTCGAGCCAAGTCCTCAGCACCACGTTGAAAGAGATGTGATAGCTGAAAGATCAAACGTCGACGCTTGTTGTGGATCATATTCCTGATATCTTCATCTAAAGTATCCTGCGAAACAAAACCCAAATGTAAGAAAAAATTCACAACCATTACACGCACAGAACCATCGAGAAAAGCAAGAGAACCAAATTACATTTGTGTCGAACAATTCGCTGAAAGCTTTTTTGTTGGAAGCTCTTTGTTCTTCACTGATGTCCATTTCCTTTAGCTTGATCGCGAGAGAATGATTGAAGAGCGATGGAAGAGATACAGAGAGAGAAAGAGATGAAGTTTTGCCCTAAATGGTCGGCGTTGGTAATGGCGGGAAGAGCAGAGGTGTTGTGAAGTATGTTGGCGGGAAAAGGATGATTGTAGGAAACATAGTCCCGCCGCGTAACGTAGCCGGGCCCAGGAAAGAATCGTGGGCTCAAGCCCAAACCCATAGTTAAATTACATTTTTGACCCCTAGTTTTTTATCATATGGCAAAGTTAGTCCTTTGAATTAGTTCTTTCCCGTCTCTTTTCAAGTCCAACAAATAAATTCGATTAAGCAATTTATTTTGATCCCTAGCTTAAATGGAAATTAACTAAAATAGCTATTTTTAATTGTATGATTTTATTTTTTAGCCATTTTTTTCTTGTAATTACCAAAATGTCACTCGATTCACAAGTGACAGGTCCCCAATTTACAAAGAGATCAAAGTATAATAAAATAAGGAATTTTCTGAACCATGTTTGCAATTGCAGGGTACCAAATGTGTAAATTTGGATAAATACATCTGCGGACATATTTTATCGACCTGATTTACATATTTGATTCAAGTAATTGAGGACCTAATTCAGAAACTTCATTTTATGATACTTTGCCACATCTGTAAATTACGGACCTGTCACTTACGAACCGAGTGACATTTTTGTAATTCCTAAAAAGAAATGGTTATGACATAAAACCAGAAGTTGAAAATGGCTATTTTATTTAATTTCCCTATCTTAAAAGAATCCAAGTTTTAAAAAGAAATGCTATAAAGTTTATTTAATTTACAAAACGTCAATAAATCATTTTTAAAAAAGGGTGTTTTTTTATTTTAACAGAAAAAATGAAATTATTTTATTGTGCTTTGCATTGCATATTTCAGATGAGTTTATTGTACGATATGTTCTTATTTTTTTACTTATTTGCAGGACCTTCAGAAGCCCTAACGCTATAGTCCAACCAAGACGTGAGGTAAATTCGTTTGAAGTTCAGGACTGATTATTAAAAATCCGACTGTTTATCATTGATTATAATTTGAACCAATTAAAGGACTAGGGATGGTAAAAAAAGATCGAAACTGACGGCGAAAACCGAAAACCGAACAAATTCGGATTAAGTTCAGGGACATCTTAACGGAGACGGAGCGGGGATCTTAGTGTGTAGGGGATTTGATTCAAATATTATGGTTTCATTTCTTGGACTTGCTATCTTAGTCTTTGGCTCGATTGTTGAAGACATTGTCTTGTAACAAACTCGATAAATGACTGCGACAGCTTTGGTATCTTCTTTGAATTCTAAATTATTAGTTTTAATTGTTAAAACTAAAGTATTTAGAATATTTGGATCAAATAATCTTACTGAAAAATTTGGATAACAATTGAAATAAATTGGACCATTGCAAATATTAGTTTCTGTCATTGCTAATATTGAATTTTGAAAATTAGTATGTCTAACATCTCTTAGAATTAAGAGGACAGGGGCATCTATGCCTAGTCTAAACAATGGTTTGATTGCTACTTGAACTAATCCAACATGTAAGAATTTATATTTCTTCCTGTGTTGAATTATAGCAGTTTTTGATAAAAGGTTAAGATTATCATAATCTTTATTAATTGATAAGGTTTGTTCTGTTGCTTTAATTGAATAACCTTGAAGAAAATCAAAATGACCTACTTTATAAATTGTATTTACATCTTGTTTTAGAATTGTCCAGTTTGATAAACTTTGTTCTATATCTCTAATATGAATTTCTGATGAATTTAAATGAAGATCTTGTTCTTCATTGATTTCATCGCCAGAATTATGTCTTCTAGGGAATAAATTCATTATTTTATCTATATTAACTCAATTGTGCTTATCTTTGAGCATTGTTTTTCTAAGAAAATTAGATTTTTCTAATGATCTTTGGGCTATTAGTGGGACCACCTACAGTGGGAACACCTTTGAATGGTCGTGGTCCGGCTGGGCGTTTTACAACCAACTGCGCCTCTTACACTAAGCCAATTGATCGGGCTTACCAACACTGACCAGAATAGGCTGACCAACGCTAACATCCAACTATCATTATAAAATTTCATTTTCTTATGGAACAAACTCATCTCTAGGACGCATTCATTAATATAAATATAGTAACTCATTACCTCCCTTTGAACATAAATCATGGCTCTGATACCATTTGATACAGGATCAGTCATTATAATTATAATGGAAATATATAAGTGATATAGTATTGAAAAGGCAAGCAAAATTATGAAAAGATACTTTTATTGATCAAACAATCATGAATACATTTGTCGTTGAGGCAATTTGAACATATATCTGGAGCAATGATAAGATTGAAATCTAAAGATTTTGAACATTGAGAAGTAGAAAATTTGAGAGAAGGTTGTTTAGACATAACATTCTATCTAAGGATTTTTGTGATTAGGGTTTTTTTCGGATGATCTTGAATGAGAACTTCTATTTCCTTTTATAGATAAATTCTTGAATAAATGACCGGGACGTTTCCTTCATTTTGAGCAATTATTGGATATTTTTTACTTGGAAACCAGTTGAAGAGCCATCTATTATTGCACTTTGAGAGCCATCTATAATTATACTGACATATGGAATCTTTTGACTCTAACGTCTCTTYGGGAATAGTAAATGCCATATAGTCTTCTTTTGAATAGGAAATGGCATAATTGTACTGACATATGGAAATCTTTTGACTCTAACATCTCTTCGGGAATAGTAAATGCCATATAGTCTTCTTTTGAATGGCATATGAAAAACTTCTTTTGCTTTAACGTCTTTTTCTTGAATAGTAAACCTGCAATTATTTGATAAGATAACAATTTTGAACATGATGGTGTCTGAAATACCAAAGAGTGTATTTCATATGTTTTGATAAGATACAAAGAATTGCTTACAAGCAATAACCCAAACACACACAACTCTTGAAGATTAAAGATCTTCATAGGGATCTTGAGCATCTTGATATAGATTTTCAAAAATTTTTGAGATGGTGTTTGAACTTTGAGAAATTTCTGAGATGGTGTTTGAACTTGAAGGAGAGCTTCCTTGTTTGATTTCTTGAATAAGTCTTTTAAGCTCTTCTCTTGAATCAGCAGCCAAAAATTGATTAACTTCGTCATCTTCTTTATTTTGGCTTGATGGTTATGCAATGGAAGCCGGAGCACCAAAAGTGATTGAATAATAGTCGAGAACTCCTTGAATAGTCATATTCTGCAATTGATCTTTAGGAAATTTTTCCCACCATTTTACTCTAGTAATTCTTTGTAATAATGGAGGAGAAGAACTATTTGCAGCAAGGACCTTAAAGGTCCATGACAAGATCCATGGTATTTTGAACAATACTGTAAATTGGAGAAGATACTCAAACTCTGTGACTTCTTAAACAAAGATTTCTTTAAACTTCTTAAACCCTTCATTTACCCTTGGAGGAAGGGTTTGTGGGATATTTCCTATGAATTTGAACCATCTAACAAACCACTTAGGGTAATCGCATTCAAAATTCTTATCAAAATATAAAAACCAAGAACGGGTGTAACTTCTTAGATATAAGAAATTATACCAAGCATCTTGATAGTCATAATAATTATAAGAGGAGTATTGACTAAATATTGATAAAGGGTTTGTTGAGAAAGAGTTGGGATCCCCAATCTTGAGTAGAGATGACTTGAAGGATTTGAACTTTACTAAAATCTATTTGAGAAGAGTTGGTATGATTTGAGCGATGGGTAATTTTAATAGATCTAGAGTCTATTAGAATTGCTTCATAATATTCTCTAGTTTTGAAAGAATCACCAATGAATAAAGAACCCTTTTGGAAGAGGTAGTCATTGAGTACTTGAAATCCTTTGCTTTGAAGATGAATTTCATAATCTTCAAGAATTTTGACTGTTTGGCTATATGGGTTGAGTAAATAAGAACTTGAATCAGATTTTGGAGAAGTAAGAGGTTTTGAAGGACTGTTTTGAACGAAAGGTGACTTTTGAACAGTTTTTGGAGGAGTAACAGAGATGAATTTATTTGAAGCAGATTTCGATGGTGTTGAAAGAGTACTATTTGGACTTTGAATCATAGATGAATAATATGGACGAGGTGATGTTTGAGAAAAAGGAGAAAAACTATTTTGAGTAGAAATGAGAATTATTGAATGATCATGTTGAGTAGATCTGAATGGAGAAAGAATATTTTTCTTTTGATCAGGAGGCGAAGTCTTTTGAGAAGTCATTTTCCTTGTAAAAACTCTCTTGATAAGAAATCTGGTAAATAATTATCTTTTCCTTTGATAAATTCTATTTGAAAATCAAAATTACTTAGCAAGGCTTGCCATCTTGCAAAAATTTGTTTTGAAATCATATTTTTGATGTCATTTTCTAAAATCGGTTTTGCATACTGACAATCAATTCTTAACAAAAAAGGTTTCATGTATAAATCATCTTCAAACTTTCTTATACATAAAACAATGCTTAAAATTTCTTTTTTAACTGTTGAATAATTCTTTTGGGTGTCATTCCAGGCACCTGAAAAGAATCTTACTAGTTCTTCTTTAATTTGATCAGTTGATTTTTGTTTGAGTATTTCTCCAAATCCTATGTCACTTGCATCAGTTTCGACTATTAATTGAGCATTAGGGTTAGGAATATGGAGACATGGTAAATATTTTACCTTTTGTTTTATATGTTGAACAATTTGAGTATGTTCTTGAGTCCATGGTTTAAGATTTTTCTTGAGTGGTTTACAGATTATTCCTAAATTTTTAAAGTAATCATGAACATAA